TCTTGTGGCTGCTCCTCCTACCAGTCCTCTGGCCGTCAGGGGTGAGTATGCCCTTGGCTGTGTCGCCCTAGAGGACAGGCAGTTTGAGCTGGAGTTTCTGGCAGCTGCTTCCCCTCATCTCTGTGCCATGCTGCTCGCCCCTGAGGGAGACCCCGACGCCCTTGACATACCGACTCCTCGCACTTACGCTGAGGCAGTGTCAGGGCCTTGGGCCTCTCAGTGGAGAGTTGTCATGGACTCAGAGATGGCCTCCTACAGATCCACAGGCACCTACGTCGACGAGGTTCCCCCCCTTGGGGCGAACGTAGTCGATGTCATGTGGATCTTCAGGGTGAAGCGGCCACCGGGATCACCTCCGGTCTTCAAGGCGCGCTATGTGGCCAGAGGTTTCAGTAAGCGCGAGGGAGTTGACTTCTTTCAGACCTTCGCGCCTACCCCGAAGATGACCTCTCTTCGGGTGTTACTGCACGTAGCAACACAGAGAGACTACGAGTTACACTCTCTTGACTTCTCCACTGCTTTCCTTCAGGGTAGCCTACACGAGGAGGTCTGGTTACGTCGTCCCTCTGCCTTCACTGGCACTTTCCCTCCTGGGACCCAGTGGAGGATTAGGCGACCGGTCTACGGTCTCCGTCAGGCTCCTCGTGAGTGGCACGACACCCTTCGCTCTACCCTTTCTGACCTTGGTTTCCAGCCTTCTTTCGCCGACCCGTCGCTTTTCGTTCGTCGTGGCTCCACACCGTTCTTTGTACTGGTCTACGTTGACGACCTGGTTTTCACCACTGCTGACAGGGTTGCTTTGGCTGACGTGAAGCTCGAACTGCAGAAGAGACACACTTCCACTGACCTTGGTGAGCTGCGCCACTACCTTGGCCTGCAGATCACCAAGGACAGAGCCACTCGCACCATTACACTCTCACAGTTACACATGGTGCAGCAGGTCCTTCAGCGGTTCGAGCTTCAGCACTCTACTGTACAACGCACACCTCTTGCCGTTGACCACAGACTCACCGGACCCTTTCCTAACAAGCCGTTCAAGCCTAGTGGCCCTTACGCGGAGCTTGTGGGCTGCCTCATGTACCTGATGACTTGTACTCGCCCGGACCTCGCCTTCCCTCTCAGCATCCTTGCTCGCTTTGTTGTGTCAGAATCATGAACGAGAATGAATGAACTATGAAAGAGTTGGGTACAAGCGCTAACCCTAATTGGGTTGTACTCTTTATGGGCTACCCCACTATAGCCTACACAAATGTAAGCAGTATAACATTCTGACACACCCCCATAGGCAAAGTGGGGGAGAACAAGTGGTCACAAGACCAGTCAAGAAAAGCAAAGCAAGCTTAGGGTGGATCACAAAGTCACCACACAGTCCGACCACAAGCAAAGGGGCCACAAGGCCAGTTCAAATGCAGAGTTATATAAAAGAGAACAACAAAACAGTGATCATACCCAAACAAGTGTAAGCATGCAGGTATATATATAGATCACAGTACAAACAAAGTCACACAGTGAGCAAGTGAGGCAAAGTAGGCACAAGGCCTAACACAGTAGAGAAGCGCTGATGATCACCAGGCGGAAGTGCCTTGGTGAATATATCAGCAGTGTTGGTCCTAGTGGCCACATACGCAAGACGAAGCTGGCCACGCTCCTGCAACTCACGAGCAAGGAAGTATCGCAGAGCGATGTGCTTCGTTCTATGCTCCAGTCTGTGCTTCTGACACAAGGCAATCATGGCCTTGTTGTCTTCGTACAGAACTGGAGGCGAACAAGGCTGCTCTCCCAAGTCAGTCAGCAGGTAGGTGAGCCAACGTAGCTCCTGTGCAGCCATGGCCCCTGCGTAGATCTCAGCCTCACAACTGGAGCTGAGAACCGAAGACGAGCGGGTAGACCGCCAAGAAACAGAGCCGGAACCGAGGCTGAAAGTGTAACCCTGTGACGACCGCTGCGTAGCTGAGTCGTCAACCCAAGAAGCGTCTGCGTGACCAGTGAGGACAACTGGACCCCGTCATCCAAGCACGAGCCCCATGCCCGACGTACTGCACAGGTAATGCAGTACCCTCTTCGCAGCATCCCAGTGCACCTTTCGGTGCCTACCGGGAGCCACGTAGCGAGCCAGAAGACTGAGAGGGTACGCGAGGTCAGGTCGTGTGCACGTCATCAGGTACATGAGGCAACCCACAAGCTCTGGGTAGGGACCACTCGGCTCTATGGACTCGTCCGAAGGTGGAGCTGAGAGCGAGTGGCTGGTAGACAGAGGAGTGGGCTGTGGCGAGGAGAACTGGAAGCCGAAGCGCTGAAGGACCTGGTGCACCATGTGTGACTGAGTCAGTGTGATGGTGCGCCGTGCTCTGTCCCGGGTGATCTGCAGGCCAAGAGTCTCGTCCTGCGTCGCCTAAGTCTCGTCCTGCGTCGCCTGAGTCTCGTCCTGAGTCGCCTGTTCGCGCTGTTAGCACTAGTCGTCGTGTTCCGCGTCCGCGTCCTCCTCCTGTCCCCGGCACTCACTCTATGTCTCTGCGTCCTTCCACTGCTCCACAGCGTGTCCCTCTGCCGTCTCCTCCTGCGTCCTCTCTTCCTGACTGTCCGGACCCGGAGTCTGACTCCCTTCGTGCTGCTAATCCTGCTGTCACGCGTTTTCTGGCCACTGCTGTCACTGACCCTTCGTTTGAGTCCACTGCTGCGTCTGCCCTAGTTGCTGAGCTTGTTGACTTTGCTGCCGCTTGTCGTCTAGACTACGCCGCTAGTCTTGTTGCTGAGGCTGAGTCTGCGTCTGTTTGTCCTCCGTCCGTCGAGGGTGAGTGTGCTCTTGGTACGGACGTCCTTGAGGACAGACAGGAGGAGTTTGAGTGCTTTGCCGCTGCTGTACCTCATCTCGTGTCCATGCTGCTTGCCCCTGAGGGAGACCCGGATGCACCAGACATCCCGACTCGCTCTCAGCTCCACCTTCGGACGAGTCCGTAGAGCTGAGTGGCCCGTATCCAGAGCTTGTGGGCTGCCTCATGTACCTGATGACTTGCACACGACCTGACCTCGCATACCCTCTCAGCCTTCTGGCTCGCTACGTGGCTCCCGGCAGGCACCGAAAGGTGCACTGGGATGCTGCGAAGAGGGTGTTGCGCTACTTGTGCAGTACGTCGGGCATGGGGCTCGTGCTTGGAGGACGGGCTCGAGTTGTCCTCACTGGTCACGCAGACGCTTCCTGGGTTGACGACTTGGCTACGCAGCGGTCGTCACAGGGTTACACCTCCAGCTCTGTCTCTTGGCGGTATACCCGCTCGTCTTCGGTTCTCAGCTCCAGTTGTGAGGCTGAGATCTACGTTGGGGCCATGGCTGCACAGGTGTTACACTGGCTCACCTACCTGCTGACCGACTTGGGAGAGGCGCCTCGTTCTCCTCCAGTTCTGTACGTCGACAACAAGGCAATGCTTGCCTTGTGTCAGGATCACAGACTGGAGCACAGAACGAAGCACATTGCTCTGCGCTACTTCCTTGCTCAAGAGTTGCAGCAGCGTGGTCAGCTTCGTCTTGCTTACATGGCCTCTCGGGCCAACACTGCTGATGTTTTCACCAAGGCACTTCAGCCTTGTAATCATCAGCGTTTCTGTACTGTTCTAGGCCTTGTACCTACTGTGCGTCACTTGCTTACTTCTTGACTCTGCTTGTACTGTGATCTTTATACATATACCTGCATGCTTACACTTGCTAGGTTGTGATCACTGTATTGCTTGTTCTCCTTTATATAACTCTGCATGTGAACTGGCCTTGTGGCCATTTGCTTGTGCTCAGAATGTGTGGTGACTTTGTGATCCACCCTGAGCTTGCTTTGCCTTTCTTGACTAGTCTTGTGACCTCTTGTTCTCCCCCACTTTGCCTATGGGGGTGTGTCAAACTTATATGCTATAGTCTGTTTAGGCTGTAGTGGGGTAGTTCATATAGGGTACAACACTTTTAGGTTTCCTACTTGTACCCACCTGCTTTCTAATTCAGTCATTCATTCGTTCACTATTCTGACAGCTGAATCCCTGCCAACACACACAGTCAGAATGAGACAGATTGACCCCATGATAGCTCATTCTGACTGGATGCGAAGACATTGAGCCGCGCGAGGGTGTAGGGATTCGAAATTCTGAATGTGGGGATGCAAAATTGTGTTTCGTTACAGCGTTTCCAGTAAAAATAAAACAAATATTACAGAGGGTGGCGCTTATAATTAGTAAGCCATTAGGGGTGGGCTTATAATCGAGGACCGGATATAAGTGCCATGAGCCTTTTATAAACGCCGGCGCTTATCATAGGCCTGCGCTTCTATCCGGGGGCTTACGGTAGTTGCTTTCTCTTCTTCGAGATCTTGTTCCGTGAGAGACCGAGCCATGGCCTCAGAAGTCGGGTTTTTTACCCTGATTTGGCTGATTTTTAGTGTGTTGACCCTGAACTTACAGCCTACCGTATTTATTGTTTCACAACACTGTATTTTCAGTGTTTTCAGGATTTTAACACTGTTTTTCAGTGTTTTGCGATTTATGACACCGATGAATCAGCTTTTTATCGCGTTCGACCCTGAACAGGCCCTCAGTAGTAACCAATTCTGATACAGAAAAACACGAACAGTGACGATCTTGCCACTCCTGGTCAATTTTGTATTTTAGCACTGTCGCAGACACAACCTCGTTGAACATTTTCTCGAGAATAAAACAAGACATTGCAGGGCAGGATTGAACAATTGCTAAGGGAATCGGAGCAGATTTAACCCTTAACAAGTACAATCTGATCGCAATAGAATAAAATGCATTATATTGTGGCAGGATACGGTACCGTAAGCCTCGTACCCTTCACCATGCCATGAAGCACATACGCAGACAATCCAAACAGTGTGCAACCAAAACACTATGCTATGCTGTGCTGCTGCTAATCCTACCGTATTTGGTTACAGAGGAACCACAGATCATTGTACGGTACCTCTATGCACCTCGTTGCACCTCGCAACATGCTGCTACCATGCTATGCTACTCCTGCTGTAATGGTTGAAAGAACCCCCCACCTCCATGCTGTGACAGCGACACTCCCCCTCTGCCCACCCCACTCCCCAACCGCCCATCATCATCACCACCCATCCCAGGACCTTCCTCACCAGGCAAACCAAACTGTGTTCCACCTACTCCCACTCCTCCCACTCCCCCACCACCTCCGCCGCCCCCTCCTCCCACTCCCCCTCCCTGAAAGCCCCCCATTGCTACACTGAACGCGCCTGACCCCGCAAAGCTCCATCCCCTGCTGCCACCTGTCGGGCCTTTTGGCTCCTTGTGTCTGCGCTGCATGTCCAGGAATATTCGGAGGAGCGACGGGCCGTCTAGTGACGATCCGCGTCCGTCTGTGCTGCTGCTGCCGGTGGTGGCGGTGGTGGTGTTGGGAAAGGTATTTGCACTGAATCCGTTCACCATTGCTGCTTCTGATGCTCCTGCAGCTGTTGCTGGTACGGCCACACCTGCTCCTCCTGCTGTTGCCATTGCGATAGGAGGCACTGCTGCTGCTGGGCCGCCGGACCAGCTGCCTGATCTTACTGCTACCATGGAGGGTAAATTACCCTGTGAAGAAGTCGTTTGCGAGATTGCTGATCCGTCTGCGGTGTTAGAGTGCACGGCATGTGCAGCAGCAGCTGCAGCAGCGGCTGAAGCAGCGGTGGAAGCAGCAGAAGCAGAGGCAGTAGGGGAGAGGAAGGCGTTGAAAGAAGCACTGCGCATGGCAGCAGCAGCGAGGGGAAACGCTGGGCCCGCTGAGGGAATGGATGGAACAGCAGCAGTGGCAGTGGGAGTGGCGGAAGCAGCAGATGGGCTTTGTCCTGCTCCTATGCGCTCCTCTTGGTTGCTTCCCATGCCTGCTGCTGTTCCAGCATTACTGCTGTGCGATGGAATGGAAATGGGCTGCGAAGCAGATCCCAATACTGATGCTGAAGCAGAGGAGAGGAGGTGGGAGTGGGGAAGTGGGCCGTAGAGGGAGGAGTGAGGTGGAGGGGAGGAGGAGCGCGAGGAGGGCTTGGAGGAGAAAGAGGCAGGAGCGGAAGAGAGGTGTGGAGGGAGTGTGGTAGGTGCAAAGGAGGCGGTTAGAGGGATTGCTGGGTGAGGCAGGTAGGAGGAGGTGGAGTAGAGTGGGAAGGAGGGGGTGGGGGGAGGAGTGGGGTGGAGCATGGAGGGCGAGGGGACGGTGGAGAGGCGTGTGTGCAGCACTCTGAAGGCCACTCCATGCTGTGAGGATGGGTGGGAAGGGGTGGGAAGTGGTGAGAAGGGATGGGAAACAGTAGGGAGAGGGAATCAAAAGGGGAAGGGCGAGGGGACGGCAGAGAGGCACGTGTGTAGCACTCTAAAGGCCACTCCATACTGCGAGGAAGATGGGTGGGAAGGGGTGGGAAGTGGTGAGAAGGGATGGGAAACAGTAGGGAGAAGGAATCAAAAGGGGAAGGGCGAGGGGACGGCGGAGAGGCACGTGTGTAGCACTCTAAAGGCCACTCCATACTGCGAGAAAGATGGGTGGGAAGGGGTGGGTAGTGGTGAGGAGGGATGGGAAAGGGTAAGGAAGAAAGGGAACAAAAAGGGGAGCATGAAGGAAGGGGGGAAGGTGGAGAGGCGCATGTGCAGCACTCTGAAGGCCACTCCGTGCTGTGAAGGGAGGCGCAATGGCAGAGGAGGGAGGGGAGAGGGCGGGGAGAGGAGCGAATAAGGGGAGGCAAAGATGTGGTGGAAAAATGGGAGAAAGACAGATGGAAACGGAGACAGGCAAACGGATATGCAGGGAGGCAGAACTCGAAGGAGAGGCGGAAAAGCGAGAGGTAGAGAGGATGTTATTAATCCCGAGAATGTTCTTATAGAGGATGTTCTCATAGAGGATGTTCTCATAGAGGATGGCGCAGAGCAGGTTGGTGCAGTGAGAGGGTGCATTGAGAGAGGGTGCATTGAGAGAGGGTGCATTGAGAGAGGGTGCAGCGAGTGTGAGAGTACGTCGTTCTTCACCATAAATTCTATTCTTTCTTGATTTTCCTCGTTTTTAGTAAACCATATAGAGCAGATGTGAGTGGCACACCATGAGCATCACATACTGCATGTACAAGCATACCTGTGGCAGCAGCATGAGCAGGCCGTAGAGTGCTTTCAGGAGAGCAGGAGAACGGGAAGGATCCAGCAACTGTTGGGGGGACACGGAGGAGAAGCAGAGGTGTTTTGGTGGACCAGGGAGCGATTCGTGTCCCCCCAGCAGAGGTGTTTTGGTGGACCAGGGAGCGATTCGTGTCCCCCCAGCAGAGGTGTTTTGGTGGACCAGGGAGCGATTCGTGTCCCCCCAGCAGAGGTGTTTTGGTGGACCAGGGCCTGATTCGGAAGCACAAGGACGAGCGTGCGAAACTGAGGTAGCTCGTGGAACCGCTTAGGCAACCACAGTAACGAACCATGATGAAGGCATGGCACCAGGTTGGTGAAATGAAACCATGATGAGATTATGATGACACAATGGAAGGCAAGCCACTGACCTGCAGTCTCAATCGGCTGAAAATGGGCGTTTCAAGCAGAAGAACTAGCTTATCCATCTGCACTCACACTCACACACACACATGCCGATGCACATGCCGATGCACATGCCGATGCACATGCCGATGCACATGCCGATGCACAGAGCGATTTCGTACATACACGCGCAGATGCGCATCACACATGCACATGAAGATGCAAAAAGTAGCACACCGGTGGTGTCCATAAGTTGGTTATCAATATGGCATGGCACCGTGTATGATACAGCACCACAAAAACCCAGCTGCTAGTGCTGGTGGTGGTGGTGGCGCTGCTGCTATTGCCGGCGGTGCTGTTGCCAATAGTGCTGCTCCTAGTGTTGCCGGTTGCAGTAAATCTAAATACCCCTCCCCCCGCTCCCTCATCACACCATCCCTGCCACGCACCTGCACCATGAGGCTGAGGGAGAGGTCGCTCTCCTCTAACGCGTCCACGATGCTCCATGCATGCTCGTACGCCTGGGCCAGCAGGCACAGGCTCACTGCAGCGATGGGCGAGTGGCACCATGCCGGGTACAGCGCCACGAACAACCCCCTCCCACTGCACGCTGCCGCTGCTGATGTTGCTGCTGCTGGTGCTGATGGTGCTGTTGTGGGTGCACTGCCCGTGGCCGCAACTCCTGATCCTCCCACTCCGCTGCCGCCCCCACCCCCACCCCCACCGCCACCTCCACCCTCACTCGCAAGCATAGACGGGGGGGAGGCGGAGGAGGGAGAGGGAGAGAACGAGGACCCAGCACCATCTGCTGCAGCAGCCGCAGCAGAAGCAGCAGAAGCAAGATGGCTAGCAGCGGCAGAAGCAGCATGAGCTGCAGCAGCGGCAGTGAAAGAGGGTTGAGTCATCACAGCAGCGGGCGCAGGAGCAGGAGCAGCGGCGAAGGAGCGGCGGAGCTTGGAGCGGATGGGGCCGAGCTCAGGGGCAGTGAGGAGGATGAGGGAGAGCGTTGGCACGATGGTGGCGGCGAACTGACAGTCGGACTCGTTCTGAAGAATGAAGGCTAGCTCTCGAAGTACTTTATCAGCGTCTAGCATGGCGCAGAGGTGGCGGATGATGATGCTGCCACGCCTGAGTAGGGGGAAGGGGATGGTCAGGAAAGAAGGGGATAGTGGTAGGGGGTTGAGTGGAATGAGGTTGAAAGGGAGAGCGTGGGCACGATGGTGGCGGCGAACTCGCAGTCCGACTCGTTCTGCATGATGAAGGCGAGCTCCCTGAGGACTTTATCCGCGTCCAGCATGGCGCACAGATGGCGGATGATGATGCTGCCCTGCCTGGGACGGGCACGCAGGGGGGGAGGGGGGGGGGGTGCGGTCAGAGAGTGGGAGTGGGCACGATGGTGGCGGCGAACTGGCAGTCCGACTCGTTCTGCAGGATGAATGCCAGCTCTCGGAGGACCTTGTCGGCGTCTAGCATGGCGCACAGGTGCCGTATGATGATGCTGCCCCGCCTGAGTGTGTGGAGAAGAGAGTGAGGGGTGGGGAAAAAGAAGGCAGCTTGTCAGAGTAAGGATGGAAAAAGGGAGGGAGACGGGAGTTGGGGGCGAGCTCGGGGGATGAGGGAGAGCGTGGGCACGATGGTGGCGGCGAACTGGCAATCTGACTCGTTCTGCAGGATGAAAGCGAGCTCCCGGAGCACCTTGTCTGCGTCTAGCGTGGCGCACAGGTGCCGTATGATGATGCTGCCCCGCCTGGGTGGGGGGTGGAGTGGGGGAGGGGAAGGGTTGGAGTTGGGGGAATATGTGAGGTTGTACGGCAATTCGGGCATTCTGGTAACTCGCAGTCCGACTCGTTCTGCAGGATGAAAGCGAGCTCCCGGAGCACCTTGTCTGCGTCTAGCATGGCGCAGAGATGGCGGATGATGATGCTGCCCTGCCTGGGTGGGTGGGGAGGAGGGGGGGGAAGGGAAAAAGGAGAGAGGCGACGAGGAGGATGAGGCTGAGGGTGGGCGCAGTCGGAGTGTAATTGCAGCATGCAGAGGGAGGGAGAGCACGCAGAGAAAGGGAGAGCATGCAGAGAAAGAGCACCTGTCAATGAGGGCGTGGTCGGAGTTGAAGAGCAGGAGGAGGAGCAGCAGCAGGAGCAGCAAGGGAAGAGAGAGAGGCTGAGAGATGATCAAGGACCAGAGAGCATGCAGAGAAAAGGAGGGCATGCGGAGAGAGCACACCTGTCAAGAAGGGCGCGGTCGGAGTTGAAGCGCAGGAGGAGCAGCAGCAGCAGGCGGTGGAAGTGGTGGGGGTGGCTGGCCACTGTGGCCTGCACTGATAACGCCTCTAGCACCACCTGTGGGGGGATGGGTGCATAGTTGCAAGGTTGCATGATTATTGCACGGGCTGGGGGAGAAGAGAGAGGCAGCAGGCGGTAAAAGTGGTGGGGGTGGCTGGCCATCGTGGCCTGCACTGATAACGCCTCTAGCACCACCTGTGAGGGGATGGGTGCATAGTTGCATAGTCGCATGGACCAGACGAGCAGAGAGAGGCAGAAGGGGAAGCGAAAGGCCTGAAAAGAGCTGATAGATCCTCTACCACCATGTGAGATGGTCAAAGAGGCCTGAAAGATAAAGAGGGGGGCAAAGAGAAGAAAGAAGTTTCAAAAGCACAGCGTAGAAAAAAAACGAAAAGAAGGGACGAAAAGAGACGATGGAATTCAGATGCTTCAACCATTCACTCACATGGCCCACACGGGCAGGCAGATCGAATTGAATTACACCCATTTGAGGCGCCTCATGATTCATATTTCACTGAAATATGTCATATTGCACAGCACTGCGCACCTGTTCTGAGTCGTCTGCCAGCGCTGCAAGCAAGGATTCGAGAAGGGCAGTGGAGGGATCGTCCATGAGGTCTAGCAGCTGTGGGTGGGGGGGGGAGGGGGGGGAGAAGAAGGGCAGGCGGAGCACTTGGATGAGAAGGCGGAACAGAAGGCTTGAGAAACATGATGCAAGCAGCTTGAGAAGAGCAGTGGTGGGATCGTCCATGAGGTCTAGGAGCTGTGGATGGGGGGAGTGAGGGGGGAGGAGGAGGGCAGGCGAGGCAAATGGGAGGGGAGGTGAAACAACAAGTAGAGATTGGAAGGAAATGGAAGGGCAGTCAAGGGATCGTCCAAAAGGTGAAGGAGCTGTGGCGAGAAGGCAGGTGGGGAATGGAGTTGGGTGGGAAGAAGAACAGACATCTGGAGAAGATGAAAGGGGAAATGAAGCAGAGATGCAGATTCGTCATAATTCTTGGTACTGAGAGGAAATTACATATATTACCTAATCTGAGGGTCAATCTATACTGCGTGGCGTGGTCTGGAAATTGAATAAACTGACGTGGTGTGGTGGGGGTAGGAATCTACACACATGGTGTGAGAATGGAAAAGATGAACCCACCTGGTGTGGGAAACGGTGCAGAAGGGTGGCGATCCATGCAAGTGCTTCCAGCCTCGTGGCTTCCCAGCTGCTGCTCAACTCCCTGCCATCACCATTCATGACCGAGGAAATCAAGAGGGAGATTCAGGGTGCTGCAATTGCTTAGTTGACTCAAAGATCAAAGTTCCCTTCTCAAAGATTAAAGTTCCCTTCTCAAAGATTAAAGTTCCCTTCTCAAAGATTAAAGTTCCCTTCTCAAATATTAAAGTTCCCTTCTCAAATATTAAAGTTCCCTTCTCAAAGATTAAAGTTCCCTTCTCAAAGATTAAAGTTCCCTTCTCAAAGATTAAAGTTCCCTTCTCAAAGATTAAAGTTCCCTTCTCAAAGATTAAAGTTCCCTTCTCAAAGATTAAAGTTCCCTTCTCAAAGATTAAAGTTCCCTTCTCAAAGATTAAAGTTGCCTTCTCAAAGATTAAAGTTGCCTTCTCAAAGATTAAAGTTCCCTTCTCAAATATTAAAGTTCCCTTCTCAAAGATTAAAGTTCCCTTCTCAAAGATTAAAGTTCCCTTCTCAAAGATTAAAGTTCCCTTCTCAAAGATTAAAGTTCCCTTCTCAAAGATTAAAGTTCCCTTCTCAAAGATTAAAGTTCCCTTCTCAAAGATTAAAGTTGCCTTCTCACAGATTAAAGTTCCCTTCTCAAAGATTAAAGTTCCCTTCTCAAAGATTAAAGTTCCCTTCTCAAAGATTAAAGTTCCCTTCTCAAAGATTAAAGTTCCCTTCTCAAAGATTAAAGTTCCCTTCTCAAAGATTAATCAAAGTGTCCTTCTCAAAGATAAAGGGGATCAAGAAGGGAATCAACCAGAGTGCTGCACTGTGCTGTGCTCCGGGCTTACCAGCATTGCCTCCACGTGCCATCTTCCCTTCACCCACCTCTGCAACAGACAGGTTGTAGCAAACCCCTACCCACTGCCTTGCTATTCCCCCTCCCCGCACCACCGCTTCGCTATCCACCCCCCCGCCCAACGCATTTCTACCCCCTCCCTCCTCCCCACCCACTGCCTCGTTGTGCAACGTTCCACCCTCACCCCACCCACCTCCTTGCAATCTCCACGACTGCCCGCACGTCGAAGCCATCCGCCACGCTCTGCTCCCTCACCCTCGCCAGCTGCTCCTCGTTCGTGTCGCGCGCTATCTGCGTGGCGTGCAAGGGACAGGGGATCACAATATGCTGTGAATCACACACGTCGCACGTTGACGCCATCCGCCATGCTCTGCTCCCTCACTCTTGCAATCTGCTCCTCGTTGAAGCCGCGCACTATCTGTGTTGTCAGAATCCCAACCACTAGACCATTGGGATAAAAGGGCTTGTTTGTGTATCGGGTTTGTGCGCCCATAACCCCCCAGGCGAACGCGCCTGTAACCCCTCCTAAGATCAATCGGGCATCTACAGTGCAGATCTACTGACACCCCCCCACACTGGGAGGCCCAGGACTGAGCACAACGGCAACGGCCTACATGTGCATACACCGGAATTCGAACCCGAGACCGCTCTGATACCATGTCAGAATCCCAACCACTAGACCATTGGGATAAAAGGGCTTTTTAAGTAGCGGGTCATTGTGCCCATAACCCCCAGGACAACGAGCCTGCAACCCTTCCCAATGGTGATCCCCGATTGATCATAGGGAAGGGTTACAGGCTCATTGTCATAGGGGGTTATAAGCGCAATGACCCGCTACTTAAAAAAACTCTTTTATCCCAATGGTCTAAGTGGTTGGGATTCTGACATGTGTAACGTGGGGCAAGGGATGGGACAGGGAAGCACTTTGATTATCACGCACATCACATGCAATCCAATCTGCTACGCTCTGCTCCCACACTATCTGCGTGGTGTGGTGAGGGGCAAGGGACAGAGAATTCTGGGAAGTCAATCGCGTAATCACACATGTATTTCAGTCCGCCACGCTCTGCTCCCTTGCTCTTGCCAGCTGCTCCTTGTTGGTGCCGCGCGTGCACTATCTGAATGCAGGGAATGGAGAGGGGATTGCGTTGTTTTTACACAGGCGCTGTTAAGAAAAGCAGAGCGATGGTCAGCTGCTCATGCTTGTGCTGCTTCCCTGGGACGATCCTCAGTCATTTTCCATTGAGGCAGCAGCAATCTTCTCCTCGCAGTCGGTGTTGCATTGCAGGGCAGACTGGCAGCACAAGGCATTCCCAATACGAGCAACTTCTTGGTGCATTCAACACCGCATAAGCCTCTTGTATGTCTTACTGCAGGGATCTTCTCTTCCCGGTCAGCAATGGAGGGCGGAATGGCTCCCACCACAGCAGCAGCGGCAAGACTTCCCCTAGTTAGCGATGCACCACAGAACTTAACCAGCATAGGACTTTCACAATACGAGCTTTTGTGTAAGGTTGTCTCACCGCAGCGATCTTCTCCTCGCGGTCAACGATGCAGGGCAGAATGGCGCCCACTACAGGGACTAGTGAGAACCACACATACATACAAGGAGACGCAGGTACGTCAGTGAAAACGTCCCACTCACCGCAGCAATCTTCTCCTCCCTGTCAGCGATGCAGGGCAGAATGGCGCCCACCACAGCCGCATAGTACGGCATCATCTGCGCTTCCCCCAGCTTCACAAAGTCGTTGATCTGCATCCCATCAGAGAGGCAGGTAGGTAACGAACAAGTATCAGAGGCAGGTGAGAACTGAAGATGCAACTGCTTACGTCATCACATGGCATAGAATGGCATCATCTGCGCTCCCCCCAGCTTCACAAAGTCATTGATCTGCGTTGGATTGGAGGGAAGGGAGTAACAAACATGCGTAGGTTTGCCACGAGATAACATGGCAATATACGTAACCATGTGGAAGCAGTGACACATACCCATGTGCCAGCAGTGAGGCATACCCATGTAAGAGCATCACATCACATCACATCACATCACATCACATCACATCACATCACATCACATCACATCACATCACATCACATCACATCACATCACATCCCATCCCATCCCATCCCATCCCATCCCATCCCATCCCATCCCATCCCATCCCATCCCATCCCATCCCATCCCATCCCATCCCATCCCATCCCATCCATCCCATCATACCCAAGTGACACCATCCCATCCCATCCCATCCCATCCCATCCCATCCCATCCCATCCCATCCCATCCCATCCCATCCCATCCCATCCATCCCATCCCATCCCATCATACCCAAGTGACACCATCCCATCCCATCCCATCCCATCCCATCCCATCCCATCCCATCCCATCATACCCAAGTGACACCATCCCATCCCATCATACCCATGTGACAGCAGTGAGGCGAGTGAACTCATCGGAGGACCCCGCACGCTGCACCAGGATCTCCATCATTCGCCCATACTCCACCGCCTGGGAGGGGAAGAACCGGCAAGGATGGGGGGAAGAGGAAGAACCAGCACACGCTACCATGAGCTTCGACTGAAAGCCGTCAGTGTTCGCTGCACCAGGATCTTCATCATTCGCCCATACTCCACCGCCTGGCAAAAAAGAAGGGGGGGCGGGGCGGGAGCAGGGAAAGCACAAGGATCGAGGGAGTAAAGGGTCCTCTAGCATGAGCTTGGATTAAAAGCTCTCTGTGGTGCTCGCTGCACCAGGATCTCCATCATTCGTCCGTACTCCACCGCCAGGCAGAGGGAAGAGGGGGGGGAATGGCAGGTTAAAAAGAAGGGAACAACACACTGTACCATGCTGTCTGCCCTCCATCATTTCCTCTGCACCAGAATATCCAATCCCCTTTCCTCCCTTTCACACTCACCGGAGCATGGCGAATCTCATGTAGGAACTCCCTCAACGCACTGTCTGCCTGCACTCGGATCTCGTGGGCTGAATCGCCCAGCATGTTAAACAGCCCTGGTAGTGGGAGGGGACGGCAGAGGGGATAGGGCAGGGAGAAAATAGAGAGGGACGGAGGAAATATGTCCTTTCAGTCCCTCAGACTGCTGTCTGCCTGCACTCTGATCTCATGGGCTGAATCACCCAGCATGTTGAACAGCCCTGGTGGCAGTAGGACAGAAACGGGGGAGCAAGGAGGGAGGGGAGGAAGGGCGAGGCGGAGAGGAAGCAGGAAGCCGAGCATGTCAATGTCGGGCACGCTGTCCAGCACGGTGAATCTTGCAAATGCACATGCCTGCAAAGACATAGCCGTGATAACCCACAACCCACCATCCAGCAGGTCGGGCAGGAAGCCGAGCATGTCAATGTCGGGCACGCTGTCCAGCACGGTGATCCAGCCCACCAGGAACTGCTGCACGAAGGGGTTGAGCACGCTCATGTGCGCTCGCAGGAGCGGGATGAACTCCTCTATGCTGCACGCATGCATGCATGTGATATGGTGGATAGGACACAAGGGGTACGGGATGGGGCAGCACAAGATGGATATGAGGCCACTGGAGAGTGGGACGAGCACACTCAAGCCGACGAGGAATTGCTGCACCAAGGGGTGAGCACACTCGTGTGTGCTCGGCGGTGGGGGATGAACTCGTCTATGCTTTGCGGATCGGGTATGGGGGATTGGGGGGATTGGGAAGTGGGGTATGGGGATAAAAGTGGGTATTGGGGTTTAAAAGATGGAGCAAACAGGCAGATATGTGAGGCACTGTGGAAACGCAAGGAGGAGGGAAACAGCACACAAGATATGTACGGATCCTAATCATGGATTGGAAGAAGCAAGCAGGGAAGCAAAGGGATGTGCGACAGAGTGAAGGGATGTGTGACAGAGTGAAGGGATGTGCGAGACATGCAGGAAGGCATGGTTAGAGTGCGGAGCAGCATGAGGAATAATGCGGAGAGGTTGGGTTGGGTGCTGATGGGGCGAGGGGGCACCTGAATTGGTCACTGACAGTGACGATGTCCTGTAAAGGAGACGAGCACGAGAGGGGGTGGGTGCATATGTGAAAGGGGGGAGGGGAAGAAGAAGGAAAAGTGAGTATGGTGGGAGGGTTGTGCACGCCCAGGGAAGCGGACAGCTTGCAGAGGTCGTTGACCATTTCCTCACGCTCACTCACTCTTACTTGGAACGAACTCACTCCTCACCTTGACGAGGCGGACGACCAGGTGAGCAGCGGACTGCACCTTGGGGTCACTCGCTCACTCACTCACTCACTCACTCACTCACTCCCTACCTCACTCACTCACTCACTCACTCCCTACCTCACTCACTCACTCACACTCTCTCTCGCACCTTGACGAGCCTGTCCAGCAGGTGGGCGGCGGACTGCACATTGGGGTCCAGGTCAGCAGACAGCTTGCACAGGGCGTTGAACACGTCATTGAAGAACACTATGAAGTCGCCACGTGTCACCTGGTGATAGGACGGAGGGAGGGAGGGAGTGTAAGCAAGGTGCAGTGGGTGTGAACTGTGCCCACGTTGGATGCTTGTCATCTCATCTGTATCAAATCATGAGTTGTCTCTTATAAGGGTTCATTCCACACATTTTAGTTGGGTGCATGCACGATGGATTGCACTGAGAGTAAAAGCCACATGATAGAAGTTGGGTTTTGAGACGTCTCAAAACCCAGCTTTTATCACGTGGCTTTTCCAATTAAATTGTAAAAGTTTGTCTGCTGTATTACAGTCGTTGTTTTGTCCGCTTCTAAGGTGCCTTAAAAGCCATCACAACGACGACCTTTGAGGCGCCTCAGAACTCTTCTGGAGTGCGTAGAAGTTGGTTCGGTATCAAAGTGGTTCTTTAGACCAAACCACCTCCACTTGTACTCAACGCAGCGCACACCCAGCACTCAACCAAAAGCTTCTTAGCTCACACTCACTGGTCAATCCTCCAAATATCAAACGCGGGCTTGGCAATGTTGTGGGCACAAGTGAGCTTTGAGTGGGTAAAAACCCAAATCCCAAAGTTGAGAAACTCCAACCCTCCAACCAGAAACTTCAAACCCCAAACCCGAAACCCAAAAACCCGAACCTGCGAAACCCCAACCCCCCCAAAATCGACTGGAAAACCAGGAGGAGCAAGAAGGCCACCTTGGCGATGTTGTAGAGCGCTTCACAGGCGTAGTAGCGCACCCGGCTGTCCGAGTCTGAGAACGACTTGAGCACCTCTGGCACGATGCGCTGGGGTGGGGAAGAAGGGAGGGAGGGGGATGGAGGGCGGGGGGAAGGGAGAATTGCAGTAGCGCACTCGGCTGTCCGAGTCCGAGGTACGACTTGAGCACCTCGGGCACGATGCGCTGGGGGTGGGGGTGGATGAGGTGGATGCATGCATGCAGTGCATGGCACGCACAGAGAGGGGAACACCAGGGTAGGAAGCAACGGGCAAAGAAGGGCTTTGGAAGTTAAGAGTCTGTGGATGGAAGCGTGTTTTTGAGTCGAATCAAGAAAAAGGGCTCGGACAGTTAAGAGTCTATGGATGGAAGCAGAAAGAGTTGATGCCCAGGCATTATGATGTGGGGACGGGGGGGTGGGGTGGTAGTGGGATGCAGTGCATGGGGGGGTACACATGCGGGAGGCGGACAGGCAGGGAAGGTTAGGAAGCTCAAGTGCTGCAAGGGGCTGAGAACATCGTGAGATGATCTGTCAATGGCATTGAATATAATGCATTGAATATAATGCATTGAATATAATGCATGAAAACGCTGAAGCACTCAAGGGCAAATCGGCTGAAACAGTTCGAATCCAGAAAGCCGCCCACATACATGGACGGAGGTGCTAGCTGGAATCAATGTCCCCAGCCCCCCCCACCCCAGTGACCATCACAGCTGCCAGCTCAATGAGGAACAGCGAGTGAGGCGTGCATGTACACAGTACACTCCCCCATACTGCATGCAGCGCCATCGATCATGGATGCACCATCCCATCCCATTCCCACCCTGCCAACCCTCCCAACGTACATCGAGTTTGCGACAGGGCCCAGGCAGCCCCACAGTGTGACAGCCGCCAGCCCTATGAGACCCCAGACAAAGGGGGAAGTGTGTGTGCGCATCCCCATACCACAGGCAACGCCAACGGGTGCATCCTCACATACCCCTTCTGCCAGGCTCCCCAACCCCCACACGTACATCAAGCTACTGACTCAAAAGCAGCATCAACATGACTGGCATCTGGCCCCAGCCCCACGGTCACAGCCGCCAGCCCTATGAGACTCCGACGGTAAGGCATGCAGATGGAACCACCATCCTCACGTGCATCAGCACAGCACACACACCACGCCCCTCTCTCTCTCCCCCCCCTCCCACCACACGAACATCGAGGTACTGGATGGTGTCAGGGAACCGCCCCACTGTGACAGCCGCCAGCCCTATGAGCCATGAGAGCACCATGACTACGTGTATTGCACTACCCAACCCCGCCCTCCTTACTCCCCCACACGTACGTCGAGGTACTGGCTGGCGTCAGGTCCCAGCCCCACCGTGACCGCCGCCAGCCCTATGAGACCCCCCTGGGGCCATGGTCAAGAGGGGCGCGAGGGGGCAGGTGCAGGCAGGAGAAGGAGAGAGTGGGGGAAGAAGGGGAAAAGGCATTGCGTTGGGAGGTTTGGTTTAGTTGATGTGCGCGAGAATGGGGGCAGGGCAGCAGCAGTAGCTTGTAGGTAGATTGGAGGGTAGAGCAATTCGTCCTCGCCCCTCCTTGCTTTGCTCCCTCCGTGTCCCCTCTGCCACCCACCTTTCTCTGGTTCGGCTGTGCTGACGTGGCGTAATCATTGGCCAGCAGGGAAATGATTGCGTTGATCCGCTCATCGTTGCCCTCTGCTACAGCCGCTTTCACTGCCGTCTCGATCTGCACAACATGGGGCAGCACAAGGAGGAGGGGGAGGGATGCGGAGAAGGGCGTGAGTGAAGGGGAGAAGGGCGTGAGTGAGGGGAGAAGAGAGTGAAGGGGAGAAGAGAGTGAAGGGGAGAAGAGAGTGAAGGGAAGAAGAGAGTGAAGGGGAGAAAGGGGTTCAACCGTTCGTCGTTCCCCTCTGCTACAGCCGCATTCACTGCTGTCACTATCTGCACAGCACAGAGAGCACAGGGGGGGTGGGGGTGTGAGGAGGAGGTGAGGAGGAGGGTGTGGGTGCTTGAGGGAAAGAGAGAGTGAGCGAGGGAAAGGCGTTCATCCATCGTTCCCCTCTGCTATAGCCGCCTTCACTGCCGTTTCTATCTGCACAACTCATGTAACACAATGGGGGGAACGGGAGGTGGGGCAAAGCGGGGTGAGGGGAAGAGAGTGAGGAAAGTGAAGTTGATTCTCTCATCGTTCCCCTCTGCTACAGCCGCCTTCACTGCTGTCTCGATCTGCACTCACAGCACATGTCGCACAATGGGGGAGGACCCGGCCGGACGAGGTGCTGAGTGGCAGCTGTCACACAGCACTCTCTCGGATGGGAAAAACAGAGAGTGGCCGAGAGATGTAACGAGAAAAAGGCGTTGTTTCTCCCCTGCTCCCGTTACCCCTTCTTTCCCCTCCCCTACTGTCCGCTCACCTCGAGCGCGGCCGCCTTGCGCTTGTCGTAGAGTTTGTCGGAGAGGTTGCGCAGCACCTGCGCGGGGAGCAGCGCTGCGCCGTCGATCATCCTGACGGACGGCTAGATGCGTCGCTAAAATGCTAGGACAACACGTCCTCCTCAACGTCAGACAACCGTCGCGCCGCCTGCCGCTTCGAAACTAAACAGATCACTTCATATATTAGCCGTCTACGCATTCCAAGTTACCACAACGTTGTAACGTGGGTTCGCCTCGCAAGGCATTTTGAAACACCGCGTCGTCGTGGATCGTGGAACAACCAATCCGAATTGCGAACTTGGGGAAACTTCGCGCCATTTTATGTCATTGCTGGCGGTTTCGTCGGGGCCTGAAAACGACACTTTGATGAAACGCGAGCAAGGTTCAAGTGGCGACTACAAGGCGCGCGAGCTCTCGCGAAAGTGATCTCCAAGGGCCAGCTCAGATTCGCGAAAATTTAACCGGCTTCGCCAGGGGCATGCGGCACTGGTAATGATTAACGTAACAGAACCGAGACGCCACTGCTTGTCATGCGGGATAGGTCCCTAGACAGAACCTCATGCTGGTTTGTAATTCATCTCCCTTAAAGCCCGCAGCCCAAGTTGTTCAACCTTAGTAAGGTTGACTGCTGGGCTATGGGGGAGGGTATCACAAAAGTTGACGGGGAGTTGTGAGCGAGGGTTGTTACAATTTCGCCCAACCCTCGCAACACTTTCAAAGGGGGGGGGCTTCGCTTTTGGTTGCCGAAGTCCCAAATTGCAGGGGCGTTTTTCTTTCAAGTTGCTGAAGCCCAATCATCAAGATTAGTAACGTTGACCCGTGCGGTCCACATCTTGGGCCACGAGCTTTAAGTGTCTGTATTCGGTCTACCATTCAAGGTGAAAACTTGTCTTCTTATGCGTCACATACCGTAGCACTAATAGAAAACAGAGCTTTTTTGGCTGGGCCCAGAAACACAAAACAATTCTTCTAACATGCCTTACAAGCTTTTCTACAGTTCCCAGTGTACGCCCCATCCCCAAGCATATACGCTGGGTTCTTTTTACACTCGCCAAGCGCCGCCCACTCCTCGCATTTAGGGTTCAAATCCTCGCAGCCATGTGCCAAGGGCCGCGCCTCAAAGGAGCGCACGTGGATCCACTTGGTTGCCGACCACTTCTCTCCTCGGATGACCGGACAGCTGGCATGCAATGATGACTGGTCCGTGGTGCCATCCGGGTGCAGCGAATAGAAGAGCAGTGCGTCGCCCTTCTGAGGCTTGACTGGAGGCGGGTGGGAGAGCCGGGGCAGGGGAATGGGGAGAACGGTGGGGGAGGGTGGGAGGGGGAGGGGAGCGTGCAGAGGCAATTGGGACAGCTGGCGTGCAATGATGACTGGTCCGTGGTGCCGTCCGAATGCAGCGAATAGAAGAGCAGCGCATCTCCCTTCTGGGGCTTGACTGATGAAAGGGAAGAGAGTGAGGAGAATAGGGAAAAGGCGGGGGGGGGGGAGTAGAAGGGGTGATTGTTTGTGTGGTTGGAAGGATGCAGAGGCATTGGGAGAGGGCGTGTAATGATGAAAGGCTCATGATGCCGTCCGGGTGGAGGGGGTAGAAGAGCATCATGGGCGAAATGGAGGGAAGCGGGAGGGTGGGGGTTGGGTGCGTAGGTTAGGAGAGAGGTTCCAATGATGAATGGCATTCTGCAAGGGCAGATCTGACATGAAGAGAAGTCATCAACAGACCATGCAAGTGCCGCAGGATGCAAGACGCCCTTCGTGCAGGTTGGCTGAAACAGAACGAGCGCACACGCACGCCCCCCCACACACACGTACATCCGCACGCGCATACAACCGCAAACAACCGCATACAACCGCAAACAACCGCACACAACCGCACACACCCGCACACACACGCACACACACGCACACACACGCACACACCCGCACACACCCGCACACACTCGCACACACTCGAACACACACGCACACACCCGCACACACCCGCACACACACGCACACACGCGCACACACATGCCCGCACACACACGCACACACACGCACACACCCGCACACACACACGCACACGCCCGCACACACCCGCAACCCCATACTAGCACCTCCCCGCGAGCGCACCTGCCAGGCCTCTGTTCGCACATTCAGACTTAGTGACGTCCATAGGAGGCCTAGGCTGGGAACAAAGGGGAAGTGGAGAAGGGCATGTGTAGCGGAGTGCGGAGAGGAGCGGGGGAGAGAGGCGAGGAGTTAGAGGAAGCGGAGGGGCAGGCCAAGGGCACACAGTCAGACCCAGTGACGCCCATAGGAGGCTGAGGCTGGGTGGTGAGGGCGGGTGTTGAAGGGCACTGTGTGTGCACAGTTAGACCCAGTGACGTCCATAGGAGGCCTGGGTTGGATGATGAGAAGTGGTGCGGGCAGATAGTGATGATCGGGCATGTGGACGGGCGGGGAGAGGGGATAGGGGACAGAGGGAGAATAGAGAGCGAAGGGACAGCGGGAATGAGGAGAGGAGAGAAGAGAGAATAGGCCTTTCTTCCACCATGGTGAGATAAATGAGCACCGTGGCCACCCAGTGGCTGTCCATCTGTGTGTTGACACGCCTACTCCTGCTGTCCCATAGTACCAACCACCAATACCACACGAGGCAACAAGCACACACCTGTGAACTGGCAACGGTGCTCATGATCTCTCCCCCTTCTTCCACCATGGTGAGATACATGAGCACCGTTGCCACACGATGGTGAGATACATGAGCATCGTTGCCACACGGTGGTGAGATACATGAGCGCCGTTGCCACCCATCTGTGTGTTGACATGCCGAACCCCTCTCTCCCTCCCACCACATGAACCACTGGTGACACACACCTGTGAACTAGAGCAAGACTGTCTCCCCTCCTTCCTCCACCGTGGTCAGATACATGAGCACCGTCGCCCTGTGCTCGCCCATCTGTGCGCTGACACGCCTACACCCCCTCTTTGCAGCACCAGCAGCATGATACCTGTGCATTGGGAAACACTGTCTCTTACCCTTGTTCAACACTCCTAAGATACATGAGCACTGCAGCCACTCTGTGACGGCCCATTCTTGTGCTGCCTTGCACCGCCTGCTAATGCCACAATCCACGCCACCAGCACACGAGGCACTGAAAAGGCGCCTGAAACGTGCACTGGGAAAGGGGGTCTCCCCAGTGGTCAGATACATGAGCACCGTCGTCACCCGGTGCCCGCCCATCTGTGCGCTGACACGCCTAACCCCCTTTCTTTCCAGCAACACACCTGTGAACTGGGAAACACCGTCTCTCCTCCTTCCTCCACCGTGGTCAAATACATGAGAACTGTTGCCACCCGGTGCCCGCCCATCTGTGTGTTGACTGCATCGAAGAAATAGTCAAAGTGTGCGTCGTACTTCTGCCCTATCTCGTACTTGAGGATTTGAATGGCTTCACCGTGCTCTGATGTGCAAAGGGAGAGAGAGGACGAGAGGGAGAGATATATAAACTTGTTCAGGAACGTGCCTGAGTGGAGGAGGAGAAGGGTGCCTTCAAAGAAAGACGTGCATGAGCTGGTGAGAGGACGGCAGCAAGCGTACCTTTGGGGAGGAAGGTCCAAGCGGCGATGCGCTCCTCTATGCGCTTGACCACATCGTCCTGATACTTGTTGAGAAACGTGCCTGAGCTCGTGCGGATCTCACTCTACACACTCTTGCCCGACTTGTTGTCTGCTACTGATGAGCGCGTCACCTTGTCACGGGCCTGGGAGAGGGGGAGGGTGTGTGAGGGGAGGGAGGAGATCTCACTCAACACACTCTTGCCCCACTCGTTGTCTGCCACCGACGACCGTGTCACCTTGTCACGCGCCTGGTGGGAGGGAGGGAGGAGGAAGGGTGGCAGGTGGGATGTGGAGGGTGCGGGGGGTGTGTTGTCTTGGGAGGGAGGGGCTCGTGCGGATCTCACTCAACACGTTCTTGCCCGACTTGTTGTCTGCTACTGATGACCGTGTCACCTTGTCACGTGCCTGAGAGGGCGTGCGGGGGGTATGGAGGGTGTGGGGATGCGGGGGTTGTGGGGATGCGGGGGATGCGGGGAGAGTATGTGGGGGGTGTGGGGATGCGGGGGGTGTGGGGATGTAGGGGGTGTGGGGATGTAGGGGGTGTGGGGATGCGGGGGGTGTGGGGATGTAGGGGGTGTGGGGAGAGAATGGCGGGAGCTCGTGCAGGTCTGATCTCTCACTCAGCACGCTCTTGCTCGACTCACTAGCTGCCACCAACCACCGTGTTTCCCTTGTCTTGCGCCTGATGGGTGTTGAAGGCTGTGAGGGGTGTTGGGGATGCGGGGGATGCGGGGGGTGTGGGGGTTGTGTGGTGGGTGGGAGGAAGGAGCTCGTGCAGATCGTATCTCACTCAGCGTGAGCTTGCTCGACTGATTGTCTGCCACTCACGACCGTGCCACCTTGTCGCGTGCCTGGGAGAGTTGAGGGGGATGTGGGGAGAGAATGTGGGAGGAAGGAGGAGCTTGTGCGGATTTCATCTCACTCAGCACGCCATTCTTCAACTCATTTTCCGCCACTGTCCACCGTGCCACCTTGTCGCGTGCCTGGGAGGGGGGGGCGAAGGAGGGGGGGGGGAGGAGGTGGGAGGGGTTGTCACAGACTTGTTTGGGAGGAGCGAGTCGGGAGGAGAAGGAAGAGATGTTGCACGTAATCGAATGAAGGCAGGGGGGGAATGGGGGAAGCAGGGGGGGAAGGCGAGGAGTGTGCGACGGAGAGCAGGGACAGCAGAGACGTGAGAAAAGATGAGGGAAAGGAGGGATGAGAAAGCTAAAGCAGAGAAAGGAAAGGAGAGCAACAGGGTTTTGAGAATCATGGAGGAGTAAACAGAAAGGAGTGCTGAGAAAGAACGAGGACGGAAAGAACGAGGAGGGAAAGAGAGGCTCACGAGAGTGATGAGGTGATCGCACTCGTCGTGGGAGAGAAAGCCCGAGTACAGAAAGGCCCTGCATGGGCGGCATTGGACGGAATTGGGCCGCGTTGGGCGGCAACGTACGGCACCGTACGTCATTTATGCCATCCCAAAGAAGTGTTGATCGGACGGAGCGTCAATGTTGATAGCAATGATGCACTGCAAGCGTGTTGTGGTTAGAGAAAATTGGCATGCAGTAGCACACTCTGACTAAATTGGGAGCAGGGAGAAAAAGCAAACAGTGAGACAGAGCTTTTCTAGGAAGCAACTCACCTTGTTCTTCCCTCACTCTTCCTTTCCGTCGCCCCTCACACAACTCACACACCACTTCTTCTCGACTCACATCCCCTGTTTTCACCTGCTTCCCTCTCACCACCCACTCGCCTCTCACCAGCACTCCTGTCCGCTCACCTCACCTCGGCTGCCTCGTAAGGCAAGCGATGCGAGAGGGATCATTGGGATGCCCTCCATCCCTGCCTGCACCCAGAGCGAACTCGCCTCTCTTGCATCGCACCACCCACTTGCATCTCGCCTCTAACCAGCCATCCTGTCTGCTCACCTGGGCTGCCATGACAGGCGAGTGATGCGAGAGGGGTCAATGGGGATGCCTGGTCCTGCTTGACAGCTCGTCGCGTTCCCTTCCTCATGCTGCTGCTGCTGCAGCTGCTGCTGCTGCAGCTGCTGCTGCTGCTCATCGCCAGAAGCAACGAGTCTGCTTGCCATGGGGTGATGCATGGATGCAGATGGCATGTCACATAGGGATGGCGTGACGAGAGGTGTGGAGTGGTGTGAGTGAGAGAGGGTGGTGAGGAGTGGTGTGAGGGTGGGGTGGTGGAGTGAGAGGGGAAGGGATACAGCAGCATGGGCATAAGGTGGCACGGATGTGTGGATGTAATGAAACAGGGCAAGCTGTGTGAGGCGCGTAGTGATAGTGCCATGGAGGTGACGTCATCATGATGTCATGGTGATGTCATCGTGATGTCATGATGATGGCATGTCTCTCCCTTGCCAGCATTCACCCATACCACAGGATCTACTCCCTCCCTCCACCTCAACCCCACTTGAAGTCCCCCCCCCCCCCCCCCCTTCGCCTCTCCATCCCCCTACACTCCCCCGCCTCCCCATCCTCCTCGTCACACGCCCCCCCTGCCTCCACGTTCCACCGCATTTCCCCCATACCGTCAACCTCAATGCTCAGCTCCTCCCGCCTCGCGCACTCGCCCCGCGCAATCTTCCCCCGCCTACCCATCGCCCCGCCTCCCCATCGCCACGCCTCCCCATCGCCACGCCTCCCCATCCCCCCGCCTCCCCATCTTCCCGCTTCCCCTTTCAGAGCTCAGCTTCTCCCGCCCCGCGCACTCGCCCATGGTCTCTAATCCAGCAATCACGGCCCCTCTTCTCGAAGCCACGTTTCTAGCGTCTCAAATGGGGCGCGTTCTGCTGCCTTTTGACACGAATCAGTGCGAACCCTCCCCTTATGTGCGAACCTTCCCCTACGTGCGAACCTTCCCCTTATGTGCGACAGTTTTAGTGTTTCAAGAAGCGCGAACTGCCGCCTCACCGTCACCACACGAAAGCACACGGAATGCCTAGTTTCTAGAGTTTCCAGAATTTCGGGGTGCGTTGAATCGCCGTAATGAACAAAGGCCAGGGCCGTCGAGCATGCACTGCTCTTCCTAAACGAAGTAAACCAAGAAAATTACCATTTGTTACCTCTTCTGCGAACTGAAATCGGACTCGGCGACGGTATGCGACACGGCGAGCGACAGCACGAGGAGCGACGCGACAAGAGGCACAATCGCCTGACAGTGCGAGTCCCGATGAGCCAGATTCCCCGCCATGGCTGAGAATGGGGAGACTAAAACGGAGACATACAATTCCGGGCGCTACATCGAGGGGCTTTCCGGTGCAGGTTCAGCTGCGCGTGGAGGCCGGCCCAGGGGAAAGGAGGAGTTTGGCTGGGCTCATGACAGCTAGTGCGCTATGACTGCTATCCTCGTTATACGGCTATGGATTATTAAAAGAGTCAGGCTGGCATATCGCAATTAAAACTTCTGAGATGGGTAGTTGTTGTACAAGCAGCAAATGCAAATGAACAGAATGACTCTTTCTGGATAGCATCTCATGTTATCTCAGTAATGGGTCTGTATTACGAGTGCAATCGAACGAGCTAGCGAGGATTGCATAGAGGGACAAAATATTGACAGTGAATAACGAAATATGCAACGTTAACGCGATGTTACGAGCAATGCTGGCAAGGAGGCCGACTCGGCCTGGTACAAGGTTTGGTAGATATATTGCACTGCGTGCGTCAGCACGCAGTGCAATGAGTCAGCGGGCAAGGAAAAAAATAAAACCCACTCGGAAGGCATGCCATTCGGGAGGCATCAACCCTAAAATTTTAGGGTTGAGGCTCCCGAATGGCATGGAGTCCGAATGGGTTTTAGTTTTTTCCTGCCAGCGGTCAGCATGCTGACTCACTCGGTAGCGTCGTCTAGCGGAACGGTAGCGCTACCGAGCGCTACCGACGCTACCAAGTGTAATATATTGACAAAAGCAGCGCGTGCGAATGTGAGAGAACCAGGGCCTCAGAAGTCAGCGAAAAAAAGCTGATTTAGGGTCTGGACGCTGATTTCCCAGACATGTGGGCGACGTGTTGGCTGATAATTCAGTTTTTTTTGTAATGTTTTGGCTGATTGTTCAGGTTTTTTTTTTTATGTTTTGGTTGATTTTCCAGCGCTTTTTTACAAGTGTTCGCTGATTGATCAGACTTGTAACGAGAGTGTAGGCTGAAGTCACGCTATTACAGATTCGTGCCGGAGCCGTGAGTTTCGGCTGTCCAGGTACATCCACCGGCAATCACGCAAAATTTGCCATGTACAGCGCCGATGTGGGGGGAAAACGAATTTCCCCGACGCGTCGGTTGCTTCGTTGTCACCGTCAGAATGCTTAAATAGATGTGATTGGTTGTTAAACCAATCACATCCCTTATGCGCCAATCACTCACCACCAGTGCAGCACAGCAACGCACCGCACGCACTCACGACAAGGACACCCACCTCACCCCATCTCACCCACCCCGAACCTGCATCTAAGTGCGTGCATGGTGCCCCCACGTCGCGCCGCGTTGTAGTTGGGTGGTGAGAACGATAGGGCCTTCTGCTATGGCTCTCTCTTGATGACCCCACCGTACCCACCCACCAGGCGAGCTGCAATGTCAATCCCCGCCTCTCGCCCTGGTTTTCTCAAACCCTTGCTAGCAACGTTGGAGCCATGGCCGGCCTTGCAGAAGGCGTAGCTTGCGATGATGATGCAGGCATGGATAGCAGCGATGATGAATTAGACGGCCTAGAGGAAGCCAGGACGGGGCTTGATATGCTCCTGCGCTCGCTTGCCCCTGGTGTCCTCGCTCCCAGGCCTCCTACTGCAAAGCCTGCACTAGACGAGAGGGTGCACCGCGACCACCCACCAGTTTCTTCAAGCCCGGATTCCATCCGGAGTGAGCCTGCTGCGCCGGCTGCCGTCTCCGACACGGTGGTTGTCGAGTCGCCAACAACAAAGTCCACTGCCCCGCGCAACTTCAAGCTGAAGCAGTCGACGCTGAGCTGGGCAAAACCATCTTCGAGCACCGCCGTCGAGCAACCTGTCGTGAACAACACATCCCCTCTTCCATCCTTGGTCATAGACATTTCGGAGGCCATTGAAGCAGTATATGTAGACGCTCTTTTTAAGTACAAAACCAAGTGGTCTGAGAGGTTCTCGTGGCTTGTGCTAACCAAATCTAAATCCGGTTTCCCTGCTTTTAAGTGCAGTGTCTGCACTAAGCATGCCAGAGTCAGGGGACGATGTGGCCGGACAGGGCGAGGGGCGACCGACGTGCAGAGGCAGGCGTTTCGCAAGCACGCCGGCACGACGAAACACAGGCTGGCGATGGACAAGCAAGAGGCTCTGCTGAACGCGGCCTCAAAGCAGCCACGGATCGACCAACATCGAGCCGCCGTCGATGCTGAGAAGAACCGCGTCGTGGCGTTGCTCGACTCCATGCTGTTCGTCAGTTCCTGCGATGCGCCCATGGGAACATGGGTGAAGCTGGTGCAGTACCTCGCGCGCAAGGGTGTCCAGGGCTTCCCTAAGAAGGGATATGGCACCTACTACACATCGTGAGTGGTAGTCACATTTGTATTGCGTTGGTGTTTAGATGTTCAACCCTAAACCCTCTTCTCATCTCTTGTCTTTGGTTTCCCTGCGTGCAGGTACGGCTTCGGTGAGCTCACGCAGGCCCTTGCTACCTGGCTACAGACAACTCAGCTGGAGCACATCCTGACAAGCCCTTTCATCGGCATCTGCATCGATGAAAGTACGGATCGGCTCAGGGGGAAGCACATGATCTTGTACGCATCGTTCATCCGCGACAACGTGCTCGTGACCGAGTTCATGCAGCTGATCACGGTGGAAAAGGCGGACGCATCTTCTCTTCTGAGCATCCTGCTTTCCCACTTGCAGTCCGTCGGTGTCGATCTGCAGAGAATTTCCGGCATTAGCACCGACGGCGCAAGAGTGATGATGGGGTCTAAGGCCGGCCTGGTTGTCCGCCTGCGACAGAAAATCCCGCACCTTGTCTCCGTTCACTGCATCGCTCACAGGTTAGTGAGCTCCGCTGCTACGTTTTCAGCCCGTTACGCCATCTGGTTCGAGCTTGTGTTTAATTTCCTGAGTTTGATGTGTTCCACTTGCAGGGAGGCACTTGCAGCGAAGGATGCAGCAGAGGAGCTCCCCGTCTTCGACATGGTCGACGATCTCATCCGGGCTGTGGCCGATTTGCTTGGTCGGTCGGGACCGCGCCACGCACGGTTCATGGACATGCAGGAGGTCATCACCGAAACGAGCCTTGAAGTGCAAGGCATCCATTCCGTTCGGTGGCTGTCAAGGGGGGATGCCGTCCATCGCCTTGTCGCTGTTTTTCCGGCAGTGATTGTGCTGCTGAAGGAGCTTAACAGCAAGATGTACAAGCTGGCAAGCTCCTACCGTTTTCACTTCTTCCTTTACTTCCTGGCTGACGTGCTTGAGCAGCTCAACATTTTGAACAAGACCTTCCAGCAGAAACAGGTGAGGTGGTGCGAACATAGCTACGCATGTCCCCATATTTACCATTCTAACTATGTCACTGTGTGCCTCTGTCTGTCCAACTCGATCTGGTGTCTTTGCATGCGCAGATCAAGCGGACAACGCATCACATCGAGAGCCGCTACGTGGACTGCGGCGATGACTTCGGCGGCGGCATGAGCCAGTGGCTGTCACCTTTCCTGGAGCGTCATGGCCCGGGGTGTAGCCGCGAAGTGAAGGTGGAAGGTGTCGACAGCGACGGCCGACCATCTTCTATCACGTTCACCCTTCACAACGAGCCCGTGGACTCGTACAGCGGCCCGGAGGACCACGACGGCTGCATCAAGTTGTGCACCGAGTTCGCGGAGAGGATCGTGGCGAACCTGGAGGGAAGGCTCGGCGATCTCGACTCGCTTTCTGGAGTCCGCCTGTTCACACCTGATGCATGGCCACAAAGCAAGTCTGAGCGGAACGCTCGTTGCCAGGAGTGGCTTCAGTCGCTGGTGACGATGTTCAAGGCTCAGGACCGTGAGGAAATCTTGCCAGGTTCGTTGTGGCAGATTTGTGAACCTATGATATCTTATCTATGCTTGAAAATCCTTTGTGGTGCACCTGTTTGCTCATGTGCCTCATCTTAACCCTCCCTCCCTCCCTTCCACCAGGCATCAACAAGAGGCAGGCAGGCAAGGAGCTTCGCCTCTTTTGTTCAGTCCTTGCACGTGCCACCAAGGAAGAGAGGAGCTTCCACAGCGGACTATCGGCGATCCTCAAGACGCCAGACTGGCGGGAGAGCTACCCCAATCTGGTGCAGCTCCGGGTGGCGGTGGCTGTGATTCCCCTCAGCACTGTGGAGTGCGAAAGGGGATTCACCCGGCAAAACGTGATTAAGACATGGCGGAGAGGGGGGATCAAGGACGCGAGGCTGGGGGACCTCATGTGTCTGTCCCTCATGCAGTACGGGCCCAACTACGATGAGGTAGTTGAGATCTGGCGGAGTTACAGAAAGCGCAAGCCTTTCAGCAATGCTCCCATTTGCACCCCAACCCCAGGCGAGAACAAGAAGGGCAAGCACGAGGAGCCAGTAGATGTAGATGATGAGGAGGAGCCAGTAGGAGATGCACGAGGTAGTTCTAATGATGAAGATGAAATGAGCAGCTAGCTAATGTCATGTGTAGTGTAGTGTTGTGTTTCCCTGTTAGGCCTGCTAAAGTTAATGAACAAAGTGCTCTACATAGTTCAGCCTGCGTGTTTTAAGTGACGCTGA